ATAGGCGCTGGGAGAGCTTTCCCCTTAATGAAGTTCGACGTGACTTAATTCCAGATTAATCGAAATCCAATGTGGTTACCGAATATAAATAAATAAATATATATATATATATACAGGTTAGAAAATATTTATATTTAAATTTTAAATTTTAAATAGGGTTAAAAAGACAAAATATAATCCCTCTATGTTCAATTTTTATTCATTTTCATCCCTATATTTACAAACTGTTCAAGGCTTTCCATATTCTTTTCCTAGGCGATGCTTTTGTCCTCCACTACTTCAAAGTTTCCATGACATTTACCTCCCTTCTCTTATAACCATTACTAACTTCCATTTATTGATAGCATTTTCTACCATTAAAGTTCAACCATTGCAATAATTCATTATTATTATTAGTTTTTTTTTTAATTGCTTTGAGTGGAGAGTCCATAATTCCATGCCACCTCAGCCATATGTGGGTCTTTTTAAAAACTCCCTTCTTCTTTCCATTATACCTTGCAAAATCCCTAAATCCCTAACCCATCTAAAATTCTTCATGCGTAAAAATTCACTCATTAATAATATTTTTATATAAAGTATGATAAGATCTCTAAATCCAAATTAATAATTGTTTAATTTAAGTGCTTAGTTAAAAATGTATAGATGGCCAATATAAATATTAATTATTCAATTATAATTATTTTTAAACTAAAATTTATTATATTATGTGGTAGTATAATTGAAGAAATAGGTGTGCAATTTGATATTTATATAGCATTTATGTTCATTTTAGTAATGATGGTATGAAATTGTTTCAGATGGATAGAATAAATGTAAACAATTTTTTTAAATGTTAGTGTAATTGAGGCTAGTGGTGATGAAATGGTTTTAATAAAATAAAATATTGATAGAATTAGGAATGTATTCAACTGTTGTTTAGGGAACATGTATATAGAATAATGGTAGAAAGATTTTATGAAATTTAATTTTTTTTGCAAAACAAAATAATATAGCATTGTATTACATGTTGGTGAAAATCCTAATTAGCAATATTCTCCTTGTCGGTGACTTTAGTGGAAAGCTCTACTACATTCTAGAAATTGAAAAGTCACTGATGTAATACAATTTCTAATTAATAGAGCATAGAGCCTTGTGCCCAAAATTAGCATTGTATGCTACATTGGTGACTTTCACCAACGTACCATATGTTACTGAAAAATGCATTCATCAATGTAACATATGTTGCTGAAAAGGGTGCACATTTTTGGTAGTCAAGTCTACTGACTATATGTTAGCATGATAATGGTTGTTGGTGAAAGCACACTTTTATTGATGTGGCACATGTTGCTGAAAATGGTGCACATTTTTGATAACTAGCACTAGTAACTATAAATTTGCAAGCAAATTCTTATCACTAATGTTTTACCGAGCAAAGCATCTCCAACCGAAAAATCACCAACATAATCCATATTACTACACTATTTTTAGTAACATATTAAAGACTTTCACCAACGTACAGCCATGTTGTTGAAAACCAAAATTTTAGCAGTGAGTGTTTGAAATACCATTTTTTTTTGAACGGCAAAAAATAATATTTATTATTAAAAAACGGAGTACAAGGGGTACCCCAAACCCATTAACATCCCAACTTGAAAGGCATAAATTTATATGAGTCAATTAGCCCTTCTGTGTGGTGTGTGGTGTCGACACCACGTCCGTGTTGAATCCTGATGCCTGCAGTATGGTGTCGACACCACACCCGTGTCGGGTTTTTGTCTTCTTTTGCAATTTCTCCATTTCTCACTGTTCTGACCAAACCCAATGAATTCTGAGTGCTTACTGTATAGCGTCGACACCAAATTTATGTGTCGACACCACACCCATGACGGGATTCTGTCCTCTTTTGCAATTTCTCCATTCTGTCATTTTCCCTTATTATTTTCTCCATCATCACTAAATTCATCGGTCCTTTCTGCTTCTTCATCTTCTTCATCCTCATCTAATCATCTCAAATTTCTTTCTAAGTGCTTTAAAAAATAATTTTTCCACATCAGTACCTCGTTTTATCTGTCTTGCTCGCTCTTTTCCTTTTCCTTCCACTGTTAACTGTAAGACATGCAGTTGGATTATTAAGCCAATCATAAATGGTAAATGTGCATCTTGCCTTTCTTGCTTTAACCCATAAGAAAGCTCTCAATTGTATGAGTTCCAGTATCTTTTCTTTTTTCTGCTCTGATTGTTGAAAAATCTTCTGATTTCTTGCTAACCACATCGACCAGACCAGAGCATTCCAGATGCAGTCCCAACCTTCTTTAATGCGTGAATCTTTGTTCCCTTCCCCGAGCTTCTTGAATGTATCCCAACAATTATTCTCTAGCCTTACATTGATTCCCCACCACGCTGCACATGCCTTCCACAACCACTTGACCATCCTACATGTTAAAAATAGGTGATCCGAATCTTCCCCCTCTACTTCGCACATGACGCACTTGCTGTCTTCCCATCCTTTGGCGCATCCTCTTTTCAGTAGATTGAGTTTGGTTGGGATTCTATTTAATAAAACTTGCCAATTAAATGCTGCTATTTTATTTGGAAGAATTGGATTCCACACCCTCTTAAAAGTTGAAGCTCCATTTAATCCATCATGATCTTTTATCAGCATTGAGTAAGTTGATTTGGTTGAGTACTTGCCATCATTGTTGTGTGTCCACAGCCACTTGTCTGGGCTTCCTAGTGAAATTCTCGTATCTTTGATCATGACGTTGAGCTCCTCTGCGCTGTCAACTTCCCATTCGAACAGGCTTCTTCTCCAGGCCAAGTCCCATTTCCACATTCCGTCCTTTGTATTGCCCATTTGATTGCATTTCTTCTCCTTACCTGTTGATAAGATATATAGTCTCGGAAATCTATTAGCAAGACATCCCTCCCCGCACCAATTATCCCACCAGAAACTCACCTTAGTTCCCTCTCCTAGTTGTATCCTAAACCCCTCTACTAGCCACCCTTCTCTGTCTCTTGCTATTGTGTCGAGACAACACACATCCCTCCACCATAATGAGCCTATACACCTCTACCCTCTCTTACCCAATCCATCCAATTATCCCTCTGATTCCTGTATTTTCCTTTAATAAGTTCTCTCCACAAACCCTCATCATTTGATGCTAACCTTCCCCACCATTTACCCATCAATGCTAAATTAAATTTCCTCAATTCCTTCACCCCCAGCCTTCCTCTTTCTTTTTGTTCACATACCTTCTCCCAACTTACCCAATTAATTTTTTTCTTTTCACCCATCCCACCCCATAAAAAAGATCTACGAATTTATTAATAGCAAGAAGTATACCCTTCGGGATTAGGTAAACCGACATCAAGAAGACGGGCAAGCTAGACAAGATTGAATTTATGAGCGTGATACGACCACTGAAAGAGAGATGCCGACCTTTCCAGCTTTCTAACTTTCTTTTAAAGGATTCCACCATTGGTTGCCACATGGTAATCCTTCTATGGTTCCCTCCAATCGGGATCCCCAAGTATTTAAATGGAAATCCTCCCTCTTTGCAGTACAATCTAAAGGCCATTCTCGCCCTCCACTCCTCCCCAACTCCAATTCCCATTAGCTGGCTTTTCCCAAAGTTGATTTTTAGCCCTGAGACAAGCTCAAAAACCATCATGATGCATTTAATTGCCTTTATGTTCTCTTCGGTTACCTCTCCAAAGAATATCATATCATCTGCGAATTGTAAGTGAGAAACCGATACAGCTCCGTTTCCAACTATCACTCCTTTATACTGCTCTTTGACAACTGCAGATGACACAAGCCCGTTCAATCCTTCCGCCACAATCAGAAATAAAAATGGGGATAGTGGGTCCCCTTGTCGTAAGTCTTTGCTAACAGTGAATTGCTTTGTTGGGCTCCCATTGACAAGCACTGATACCATACTTGATCTTAGACACTCTTGTATCCACTTTCTCCAGGTTATGTTGAATCCCATTCTCATCAACATATAATCAACGAATTCCCAGCAGACTTTGTCATATGCTTTCTCGAAATCAACTTTGAACAGAAAGCTTTTCATCTTCTTCCTCTTTGCCTCGTCGATAATCTCAGTTGCCACCACTGCTCCTTCTATTAATTGTCTACCTCCAATAAATGCCATCTGCTGCTCCCCGATAATCTTTGGCAAGACTTTGCGAAGCCGATTAGCTAATAGCTTTGTAATGATCTTGTACATGACCCCAATTAACGATATGGGTCTATACTCTTCAATCTTTTGGGGATTGTCTACCTTTGGGATTAGGACAATGAAGGAGGCATTTGACCCGCGGACAAGTTTGCCATTTCTATGAAACTCCTATACAAAGCCCACAACATCTGCTTTTATGTCTTCTCACATGGCCTTGACAAATCTAAAATTAAATCCATCTGGACCCGGAGATTTCGAAGAATCACAGTCCCAAACAGCCTCCTTAATTTCATCTTCAGAGAATTCAGCCATAAGAAGTTCACTATCTGTACTAGATATTTGTTTAAAATCAATGCCCTCCAATTTCGGTCTTTGCCATTGCTCCCCTGTAAACAACTCTTCAAAATACTTGGCCACCTCCTCTTTAATTTCTGCCACCACAGTGTGTTGTTTGTCATTGATCTGTATGCTATTTATTTCGTTTCTCCTCCATCTTCCCTTCACACATCTGTGAAAAAACTTTGTGTTTGCATCCCCTTCTTTTAGCCACGCCATTCATGACTTTTGTTGCCACATGATGTCTTTAATTTTGAGATGCTTCCATAACTCAATAAAACATTTGCTCCTCTTTTCAATGTCAATTGTAGACAATTGGTCTTTCTCGCCTTTTTCATCGAGTAATGCAATCTCCTTCTCAACCTCATTAATTTTACTATCCACTTCTGTTGTAGAATTGCCATTCCACTCATTTAAGGCATTCTTGGTTCTCTTCAATTTCTCCTTGAACCTAT